GCCTGTTGACTGACTCTGGATGCAGCCAACAGGAACATGACCACAGGCAGGCAGGCAAGATGGCAGGGTGATCTGCTCCCTCACCCTTCCCTCTGATTTCCTCTTCCCTGCCTCTCCCTCCCTGTCTCCCTGTGCCCTCTCTGTCTCTCCATCTCTACCTTCCCCCACTTTGCAGGGTACCTGGCTAGTCCTGTGCCTCTTATACTCTCCAGCAGCCCCCGATCTGGTAGTCAATCCCGTTCCTCAGAGGAGACGGAGGCCCAGCCCTGGTATGCAGTGTTATCAGGGGTCCCTGGCCCTGTCCAGGAGAACCAAAGGGACAGACACTTCAGACCCCAGGGACAGGTGCTTGGGCTGTGCCACCCTGCCTGGCTCTCCTGCCAACTCAATGGCTTGTTGTACCCTCTTGCAAGGTAATGTCTCTAATCTGGCTCAGGACCTACCCCAAGCCTGGCCCCCTCATCTGTGTGCAGGGCCAGCCTACTGCCTCCAGGAGGCCAACAAAGTGGCTGCCAAGCTGCCATGGCTGTCCAGCTATGGCCATGGGTCCCGAGTGTGAGTCCTGCCCAGGGCTAACACAGCAGCCCTGGTGAGGAAAACCAGGGCTTGAGTGCAGACAGGGATGGGCCTTAGCGCTCATGCCTGGGCCACAGTGCCCCGCTGGGCCCGCCTTGCCCTCTTCTCCCTGCAAAGTCATCTCAGGTGCTTGAGGGATCCTCTCCCCTCCTGCTGGTCTCAAGAATAGCCCCCCACAGAGATGCACCCATGTTTTGAGATGCACTGACGGTCTCAAGGTAGAAACAGTGGTGTAAGGCCACTGGAGACCAACCCTCCCCCCTCACCTGACAGCCGCAGTCAGGCTGTGACCCAGCAGGTCTGTGACACCTGTCCCCTGACCCAGCCTTGCTGCCTCTGAGAAACAGCCAGAAAAATCTCACTTAAGGAAAAAGACCGGGGAAGTGTGGGGCCTGCGGCCAATATTCCCTAACTTCCCGACCCCCACAGGCCATGAACAGTGCTATGACTCCTCTAGAGACAACCCAGAAGCCACATAGCCACGGTCTCAGCCCTGCTGCCTTCACAGTAGCAGGAATGGTTTATGACATTTTCTCATGCCCTCGACATCCTGGGGCCACTTCAGCAGATCTGGGCCCTGGCTGCAGCAGTCCTGAAACTCAGACTGATCCCTGCGGCCACTCTGGACAGCTCTGCTCTGTGACCTCCAGAAGACCCTGCCCTGCAGTCACCATTCCAAAGGTCTGGGGGGGGGGGTCGGTGCCCTTCCCTGCCAGCCTGCCACCCCACTGCAGGATGATCCTGACACAGGCCTGGTTCTCCCCGCTGATGATTCCTGTCTTCGGCATAGAGGCCGAGCTGCACCAAAGGGGCCTCTGCTGCGTGCAGACTGAGGAAACAGTGGTAACGGAGACTGCAGTCTGAGGCCCAGCCGAGCCCAAGGCCAGGGGGAGTCCAGGAAAGGAGGCAGCAGAGCCTAGAGAGACAGCAGGGTTCCTGCGGGGCTTTGAGCCTTGGCTTCATGGTGCTGCAAGGGGAGGTCAAAAGCTAAAACAGCACCAAGAGCTGCAACACCAGGAGCTGAGAGGCACTGACACACGGGGAGGAATGCAGACTCAGGTGCCTGCTGTGTGTCCACCTACACATCCTCAAGTGTGTGTCCCCGTGCACGCATGTCCAGCTGTTCAGAGTCCAGGGCATTGCCAAGGGCGTAGAGCCATGAACACCCTGGGGAGCAGAGCAGGGAGCCTCGCCCACTTCAAGGCTGAGGGGAGGGGAGGGGGGAAGGGGAGATAGGAGAGAGGAAGAGAGGGGAGACGGGAGGGAGGGAAAGGGGATAGAAGGGAGAACAGGGGATGGGGGAGAGGAGGAGAGGGGAAGGAGAAGGTGGAGGTGGAAAGGGGGAAGGAGGAGGAGAGAGGGACAGGGGAGGAGGGTGGAGAAGGGGAGGGGTGGGGAGAAGGAGAGGAGAGGGAGGAGGGTGCCCTTGGCTGGGTCCAGGCCCAGCCAGCTCTCAGCAAGCTGGGGCCCACCTTGGGGTGGGCGGAGGTCAGCACTGTACCATCCTGGGCAGCACTGTTTCCAGGCGCCGGGCCATGGATGGAGAGGAGTGACACCCTGGTAAAGGACACAGGGGTCGCACACTGGAGACACGGCAATGCTTGGTAGCATCTGTAATGGTTTCCTCCTCTCGCGGCTCCTTTGCCAGGTCACCCCAGGAATGTTGCCAGGCCATGTTCCCCACACCAGCCCTCCTGTGTGAACCTTCCTTAGAGCCCCCCTTGAATTACTCCACGGAGGCACCACCTGCCGCCCGCAGGATTGGGGCTTGACACGGACTAGAATAAGGCACAGGGCAGCAGGGAGAAATGGCAGAGGCAACGCAGTGCAAAGCCCTGTAACAGCTGGCCCCGAGTGCTTAATGGCCTGTATGGCTATGCAGTCCCACTCTGGATGGGGGACCCAGCAGAGGCTGCAGAAGTGGCACCATGAGGCCTCCTGGCTGGGGAAGTAGCTATGGGTCTCCACCCCAGCCCTAGAAGCCCGATGGTCCTGATACTGTTGCCCTCTGGTCCCGCACCTCACGTAGGCCCAGCTCCTCAGCACCTAGGATCCAATCTATAGACACCATTATGTACTGAACTGTGTCCCCCAAAAGGGGGGATGCTGGAGCCCTGACCTCAGCATCCTGGAATGCAGGGGAAGTGTCTTGCAATGAAATCAGTTAGAAGGCACTCACTGCCATGGCTCTGAACCCAGGAGCAGGGTGACAAGTGTCCTTCTAAGAAGAGAGACACTGAAGGACAGCACGAGGGTCAGAGGGGTCCCAGCTTTGCTCACAGCCTGCGCTCTGCCACACGGGGCAGGGGGCAGCTGGCCCCAGAAAGTGAGCACAGCAGAACCAGGTCAGGCGGGGACAGCAGCCACCTCACCCAGTTGCTAAGGTGAACCAGTACCCAGCAGCCAGGCCCACAGCAAGCAGAGGGCAGAGGGACCTGGGACCAGGATCAGCACCCAGGACCTCAGCCCATAGGAGAGACAGAGTCACAGCAGTCTAACCCACTTTCCTTTTTCTTTTTCCTGAGGGTCTCATTGTTGCCCTGGCTGACCTCCAACTCACAATTCTCCTGCCTCCGCCTCCCAAGGAACTGGGATTATGGGGTAACACTGGGCCCAGCTTGACCTGTTTCCTGAGAAACTCATGGAGCTGAGGCAGCAGGGGCAAAGTGGACACGTGTGGGGCCCTGGCCGAAGGTTCCTGCCCTCAGCATCCAGAAGGGCAGGCGTGGATGGACACTGAGGACAGGGCTATCCGGCAAAGGCTGGAGGCCAGCAGCAGGGCCACGCAGTGAATGGCGATAGAGGGACCCTGAAGCCAGGCTGGCACCCATGGCACCTTTACACATGTGCCACATCCTCAGCTTTGCTCCAGAGAATGTTCTCAGCCAGGAGTGGGGATGCGTACCTGTCATCCCAGCACTTGGGAGGCTGTGGCAGGAGGATGGCTGAGTTCAGGGCCAGCCAAGTCTACATATTAAGCTCAAGGAAGGCCTGAGCTGCATAGCGAGATCCTATCTCAAAAAGACAAAAACAAAAGAAAGAAAAAAATGCTCTTTGTCCCCAAAGCCTGAAAGCCAACAGAGATGGTGGGAATCACGGGGAGGCAGCAACACACACACAGGCTGCTATACTACTCTCGCCTCCACACCAAGCAATGTCGGGACTGGGCGCATGCAGCCCTGCGAGGGGCAGGGATTCAGCCCTTGGGAAGAGTGGTCAGGGCCCAAAACCCCCGCTCAGGACCCATCTGGATCCTCACCCAGGCCCAGGCCTGGCTGTATCAGTGGACACGCACCTGCACAGCGGCACAACTGGGGGCTTGGGGCAGGGTGGCCACCTACAGTCGTGCAGGTTGTTTATTGCACAGAGTCCTGCCCAGAGGAAGGTGGCCACAAACCCAGGGCCCCCCAGGAAAGACCCACTCTGCTTGCCTGCACCTGCATGCCCCACTTCCACTAGGGTCAGACTGCGTCAGTGACGAACCCGCAGGCACAGAGGACACTGAGCTCCAGACCAGCTCCGGGTGAGTGGGTCAGAGTCAGCGAGCTGAACCCTGGGAGGCCACTGCTCTGCCCTGGTAGGGGTCAGGCTCCACCTGACCTCTGACCCCGAGCCAAGTCCCTCTCAGCCCTCAGGGCTTCTCTGAGCCCTCCCTCCGAAACTGCGCCCTCCTCTCATAACCCCACACCTCCCAAACTTTCCAGGCCAGAAGGGACCCCGAAGGCAGGCCCCACGGGGTGCGGCGGCCGCTCCAGGAAGGGCCTGCATCTTCTGGCTTCCAATCAAGGGGGGACAGCTTTCTTCCTCACCGGCCCTTGACAGCCGGACAAGGATGAGGAAGTCAAGGGCCACTGCGTGGGCACGAGGGGTCCACCCTGGGGGTTGGGGGCTGGGATCCTCACGGATCGCGGATGCTTTTGGGGGGACTGCTCCTTCTGGCAGACCCCGCGCACGTGCTCACACAGAGTCCCGTGGGGCGGCGGGCTGGGCTGGGCCTCCCCAAAGCCACGCACCGCCCACGTGAATGGCGGCAGGGAGCCTAGACGGGGCGGGGCCTGTGGAGGGCGTGGCTACTAGAGCCGCGCGAGGGAGGCGGGGCCTGGAGGACAGACCAGGCCTGATGGGGCAGATAGGCCTGTGGGGCGGGGCTGAGTCGAGGGGGCGGGACTCAGATGGACTAGGGAGGTGCGGACTCAGCCAGTATGAGGCGTGGCTTGGCGGAGCACAACCCATAGTGGGCGGGATCTGGAGGGAAGGGCGGGGCCTCGTGTGGCTCAGCCCAGCCTGTGGGGCGAGGCGAAGAGGAGTTCGGCCTACCACGAGGGGGCGGGGCTCAGGGCACAAGGCGGGGCCCTGTGGGGCGTGGTCTGGGCGTGGCGGGTTTCCGCGGCAGCGCCCACTTCCTCTGGCGCTCCCGCTGGGCGGAAGTGCGTCAGTTGTTATCTGCTCGGGCCCGCTGCTGTCCCGCCGCCTCTCGAGCCCGGCGCTCCGAGCCCTGCACCTCAAGCTCGGTCGCCCGCCGCTGCCGCCGCCCGCCGCTGCCGTTCGCCATGAGGCGCGCTCCCGGGGGCCCGGTCCTGGGCCGCTGAGCGCCAGCCGCCCCGCCCGTGCGCCGGGCCCGGGCCGGGGGTCCCAGGCCGCGCAGATCCGGTGCTGAGCGCCCGCGCCCGGCATGCCCGGCCCGGCCCGGCCCCGAGCCCGCGCGGCGCCCTCGCAACCCGGTGGCACGGCATAGCAGGCGGCGGCACCAAGGTCACCGCGCGCGGCACCGCCATGGAGGCCAAGGTCCGGCCGAGCCGGCGCTCACGAGCGCTGCGGGACCGCGGCCGGCGCCGAGAGGCCGCCCGCGAAGCCCGCGCGCACAGCCCGTCGTCCGGCGACGAGCCCGAGCCTAGCCCGGGCAAGGAGAACGCAGGCCTGCGCGGCGCGCCGCCCCCGCGCCCCCCGCGCCGTCGCCGCCGCGAGTCCAGCTCGCAGGAGGAGGAGGTCATCGACGGCTTCGCCATCGCCAGCTTCAGCACGCTGGAGGCGCTGGAGGTGGGTGGGCGCCGGAGACCCACACCCCAGACCCGGACCCAGCCGTGTGGGATCCGGAGGGAGGGGTCTGCGTGCTACCCCCAGGGCCAGTGAACCTGAGCTTTGGGAGGCGGCGACAGTGTGAACACTGAGTTCCTCCCGATCACCTTCCTCTTTGGGGTTCTTAGAGCAGAGAGGAGTCAAGCCCGAGTGACTACTCTTGGTGAAGGCTGCTGGCCCCAGAGGTAGTAGGTTAGCCAAAAAAAGTACTGCCTGTCTAGGCGAACTATCCCAGACAGTGTTTACACAGCAAATATTGCCCTTCTCGCCTGGAGGCAGGTGATTAGAGAAGGAAAGGAGAGGTGAGTAGGAAGCTCCAGTCTATCAAATTCTCCTGGTTGGAAATGCTGGCCTCGTGCTGGGGATGAGGAGGGCGAATGGTCCCAAGAACTGAGAGACCTCCAACTAGGTGAGCGTCATGCAGCATTTCCTCTGAGGGCTTTTCGTCTGCTGGACTTCGGGTTGCAGGCATCACTGGTAGCCATGGGACCCCCATGTCAGAGGCTAGGCTTTGGGAAAAGGGAAGTGGGCTCTGCTGGCAGCCTCTGGATCAGGCGCTGGTGTGAGGTTTTACCCTGGGTGTGTAGTGGCAGGTTTGCTGCATTCTGTCTGTATAGTGGTGGTCTGTTCACCTTCCTGGCCCAGGAGGGGAACTGACACCCCAGCCCTGGCCGGCACCCTTACCCTGTCCTCTGCTTCACATGGTGGTTCTGTCACTATGGACTTGGCTGAAGGGCCAGCCTGCTACCCAGTTGTCAGGCCCCCCTGCTCTGCTGCCTCTGCTGCGTGGGTCATCTCCACCTGTGACTTTCTTGTGACTGGTTCCCCTCAGCTTCTGCCCCTTCAAGCTTGTAAGCTGGTGGAGATGAGGCACTGCGTTTGTGCCTATGGCCCCTTCAGGCCACCAGTGCCTAGGGCAGAGCTCAGTGGAGAGCATTGTGTACAGAGGGAGGGAGGAGCTGCTGCTACTGCCTGAGGTCACAGTGCACTGAGGAGGAGGAAGCCCATGAGCCTCTTGGGCTAAAGGCTCCACCTTTCCCTTCCTCTGGGGTGTCACAGGCAGTGGGTTTAGGGGCTTGTGCTGGTTTCAACCTGCCCTACCAGATCACTAAGAAAGTCAGTCACCTGACTCCTGGGCCCTCTGGGCTGACCTTTGTCACCTCTGCCCTTCTGAGTCTGTCTAGGAAAGTACAGGGCTCAGCAGCTCAGACTCTAGATCTCCCAGAAGGGTCTGAGTTGGTCATGTTTCCTGCGGAAGTGCAGTGGATTTCCCTGGAGTTCAGATACCTCATGATGATGTTGATGGTGGCAAGTGGCTTAGTGAATATTCAGCCTGCCAGACTATCTTTACGGGCATGAATTCTGTGTTCTTAATTGTTCACTGATACAGTTACAGAATGTATAATGATCACATTCATCATAGGGAATTTGTACCTGTACATGATATGTCTACTCCCCATTCCTCTATTCTCCCTTTAATCCCTCTTCCCTCCCTGTTTACAAAAGCTTTGTTTTCATTTTTTCCTTCTAGTTTTTTTTTATTTTGCCTTCCTTCCTTTCCCCTCCCTCCTCCTCCCTAGTTCCCTTAACCATTAGAACATTTTCTTGCTATTTCACAATATCTGTTAAACATTTTGGTACAGACATGAATTCTTCACTCAGGTAACCTCAAGGAAGGCCAATGGCTCCACTTTGTAGATGGGAACACTGAGGTACAGTACACCCACCCGGTGTGAGGCACACAGCCAGAGAGCCAATACCAGCCTGCAGTCTAAGTGTGGTCATTGTTCTGCAGGCGCCCTTGGGTCCCTCACAGGGAGAGAGATCCCAGGTCCAGGGTCCACAGGATCTCAGCCCAGAGGCAGAGCCTACCCTGCCTCCTGCTACCTGTGTGCTTACAGTCACTCCACTCTAGGCTTGGGAGCTGGTTCCTCCCTCAGGTCCTCAGGGAATGTTAGTGACATGGCATGTGGGTCAGAAAAGCCCATATAATATCAGGCACAGCGGCAAGACCTATAAAGTGTGTCTTTTAAGCAGAAGAGGGTACCACACCTTGCCCATAGGATGTCGGTGCAGGCCCTGCTCCAGTCCCTGTCGCTGGCAGCTCTTCCACCCTTCTGTGCAACTGTGTTTGCCCCTGGCAGGAAGTGGCCCCTGGCTCTTGTGTGCCTGGGGGGAGCAGTAGCTACTCCCCAGTGGCTGAGTGGTTGTCAGCTGAGGAGGGCAGAGTGGCTGGTAATGATCTGCAGAGGTCTGTGCAGAGCTGAAGGGTGCAGGAGGGCCGAGGGGGCAGGGCTCTGCAAACCCAAACCCGGTCTCCTTAGACTTTCTGTTTCTCAACGTGGTCGGGGAATCCAAGGAAGCAGGAACACTTGGGGGATTTGGGAGGTGGCTCTGCATTGCCATGTTCCCTGTGAGCGCTCTGTCTGATCACACTGAGCAGCAGTGACTGGAGACCCCCATGGGCAGTACTGTGGTAAGGATCAGGAGCTGGCTGCCCGCTCTGTCTGGGGATGTGGGCCACAGGCAGGGTCCAGCGGTGGGTCGGACATAAGCAGCTGCCCTCAGGCCACAGAACGGGTTGTACTGGTCCTTGTATCTCCCAGGAGGTGGCCGAGGCCAGCTTCCTGAGCAGACTTGCATACCTTCCCTGGAGAGGGGTGGCCCTGCACCCTCGGCTTCAGGAGAACTCTTGGCCACAGGATTTTGTGCTGTGCAGCTGGGGCCAGACCTACCTGGGCAGGTATGCTTCTAGGCACAGGCGGAGACCATCTGGCTTGGCATCTATAGATGATTTTTGTTGTTGATGTTAGCTTACTTATTTAAAAAAGCAAATCACTTTACCTGTTTCAAAAGTCCAGCCCTGTGGAAAGGTGGGTGCTGCAGTTTCAACCATAGTTCACACCCCTCCACACACAGTTATCAGATCTTTCTGGAGCTCTGGAGACATAGCCAGACCCAGGTGTGCTATCTATATAGAAGAGACTTATTCCTCTGATTGATTGGAATCATAGTCAGTTATAGGTATACCATCTATATAGTAGGAGAGAGGGTTGTAGATCTAGCCAGACACAGGTGTGCTGTCTACAAGAAGGCAATGTGTTTCTCACAGCAGAGGCATGGCCAGTCACAGGTACAACAGCTACACGGGAGGGGGTGTGTTCCTCACACTGAAGATACCCAGATGCAGATGTGCCACCTACACAGCTGGGGTGGTGATCCTTACAGTAGAGACATAGCCAGATACTGCTATGGTGTCTGCACAGAAGAGGGGCTCATTCATTACAGTAGACTTATAGCCAGACACAGATGTGCCATCTACGGGACAGTTCTTTGTCTTATCTGTGGATTGTACCAGAGATGGATAAGGGTGGAAAGGAAAACACTGCTGAAGGAGCTGAGCCATCCTAGCAGCAGACAGACTCCTGCACAGTGTTAGTTAGCCCAAGTGGAAGTGCAGGGTCTCGGGTGCACCAGGGTTCAGCTAGTGGACTCTGTGAGCCTTACTGGGATGAACGGGGGCTTTACAGCCTGGTCCAAGGCCCCAGGGTGCAAGGGTGTGGGTGGCAGTGTTAGCAAGTATGTAGGGAACTAGGACAGGGCCCATCCTGTGCTGTCCGCAGCAGTAGTGATGGTATCACTTTGGACCTCTACTTTAGTCCTATTCTCAGGGGTCCATATCCTTGGGCCTAGTCATCCCATCCTGGAGGGACAAGAAAGGGGGCTGAAGTGTGTTTCACTGGGGAGTCTGAGCCTCCTGCCCAGAGCACCTCATCCTCAGTACCTGTTGCTCATCAGATGAGGCAGCTGAGGCCCGAATAGGGTCAGTCTTTACCTGCAGTACTGAGACCTGCCCAGGACACATCGAGCTGTCCAGAGGCAGTGCTGACTTTGTCCCTCCCAGAGGGTCTCATAGTGGTGGGGTGCAGCTGATCCCTCCACAGAGGTCAAGGGGCACAGGATACAGAAGCAACTCCTGGTCCTGCAGCTTATTTCAACGTTCACACCCTGGGCAGCCTTGACCACCCCCTGCAGCTCTGGGGCCCCTGCTTGTGTGCCCCTCCAGCTTTGAGGCCTTCATTTCTTGGCTCAGATCTTCCAGGCTTTCCTGTAGCCATACCTGCCCATCTGGGTCCCCCACTCCTGCTGGTTGGTCTTTACTCTGGGCCTCTTTCTGGAGTGGTTCTCTCATATTCTGTGCCCCAGCCAGGAGTACCCAACAGGGAGCCTGGCCACCTGCCCCAGGCCTTACGGTCTGGCCTTGTCTCCTGGCAGGCCACCCCACCCTGTCTTCCAAGGGTTTGTCTAGTTCATGGATGCCGCTCCCCTGCCACAGAGGTGCAGGCTGGGCTCTCCTCCGTGGGGGCTGCAGGCTTGCCCCTGCCTGAGACTGGGGAGTTGCTGGTGTTCCCAGATGAGGATTTCTGTGTTTGCCTCTGATTCTGTTACAGGGGTGGAAACTTTGTTTCCCTTTGTTTTCTAATTGGTGGTGGTTCCCAGGAGAAAGCCCTTGTCTAGTATGTTAGTTCCACTGAGGTGACTTTCTGAGGGTTCTGGTGGATTCTTCTGGCTTCTTTGAGGAACCCTGACATTACTGCTCTTCTCCCTGCTGTGCTTGGTTCCATTTGGAGTCTCACTGTGTTGTAGTTCTTCCACATCTGGGGGTGGAGGCACTGTGCATGAACATCGGCGTCCCTTCCCTCCCTGCTGTCCCCAGCCCCAGTGTAAGCATCTGCCTGGACTCCATTCCTGGGCCCTGGACACAGAGCTGTCCTGTACTGTCACTGTGCTCGGCCTTGTGCTGGAGTCTGTGGACTGCTCACCATGGAGAACAGTTCACCACCACATCCTGGTAAGGGCAGCCCATGCTGTCCTGTTCAGCTGACTGAATTTCGGGGAGATGGAGATGGAAAGAACTTTCCCATCTCGCCTGTGTTTTGGAATTAAGTGGTGCCAGATAC